CGAGTCACAAGTCTGCTCACTCCTTCGAGCTTGAGAAAATGAGAGGGAACAGTCCTTTCCCTACCAAACGTCAATCCAATTCATGAATTAGTCATTTCACTTATAGCTGCAAAACCCCAGCTGAACATAGTCATCACCGCTTTCTAATGTCCCTGAGCCCTTGGAGGTTCCTCTCCACCCTGACCTCCTCTCGTAGTCCTCAAAGTGGTGGGTGCTGGAGCCTGCACCGGTCTTGTAACGAGCTGCGGACAGTTGTGCCTTAAGTGTCCAATCTGATGACAGTGATAACAGATTCTCAAATCTTGAATCGGGGCTGACTGACGGCAATCCCTCGCATAATGGCCCTCTTTCCCACACTTGCGGCACACACCACCGGACCTACAAACTCCGGTATGACCCTTCCCACACTTCTCACAAGTGCGGATGCTCTGACTTCCCAACCTGGAATCAACGGTCTTGGACCGTTTCGATGCCGGCTGCAACTGCACCGGGGCCTGCCTCTGCTCTCGCAACTGTAACTCAATCTCCAACTCACGCCGTCGAGCGGCCTCCTGCAACTCCAGTAAGGTCTCGCACCTCTACGTAGACACAAACTGTCTGATATCCCTCTGGAGAATACTCAGATATCGGGACATCTAAGCCTGCTCCGAAGTAAACTCAGGGGAAAACATCGCCCTCTCAGTGAACATCCTGGTGATCTCCGTCCCTGACTCGGAATCCTTCTTCAGTTCCAAGAACTCTTGAGTCAACATTTCTCTCTCAACCCTCGGAACATATCGAGTGCTGAACATTTCCCGAAACTGATCCCAAGTAACCGCGGCCCGCTGCGCATCCGGATAAGATCCCGTAGTCAACCTCCACCAATCCCTCGCCCCGAGCCTCAAAAGGTTCAGAGCACACTTCACCCTTTGATCAGCAGGGTATGAACACGTGAAGAAACTGTTGGATTAATGTCTAAGTCCATAACTATAATTGGTAAGACTTGACCCAACCCGGCATGGTCCATTTGGGTTGCATGGCATCATGCACTTGGATAGACTATAATGAGAGAAATAAGACACTTATGGTTATTAATATATTATAAGTTCTAGTATAATAATAATAAGAATAATAAGATTATTTAATTTTTATTCATCAAGAATTATTCGAGGATTAATTAAGTGATCAAAAGAAGACTAATTAAATATATGGGTTGATTGTGCAAATCATCCATACTTATATAGTGGGCTAATGCTCCATGGATTATCTAGTTGGGCAAAAACCCATATGATGCTCAATGGATGCTCCATGGTGTATTTGAACCCATGGATCATGGAAATGAAAGGCTATGTCAATTAGGGTTTACATGGTGTAACCCTAACTCTATATGCATCTTATTCTTGACCAAAATCGGCCACTAGTATCATTCTAGAGAGGGCTAGCCGATTTTCATGAAGTGTAGAATTCTCTCAAGTTATTCCAAGTGTATTTGGTGTTGTTTGAACCATTTGAGGTGTCACACCTGGGGCACTAGGCACTAAAGCTTCATGAAGACTTTCTACATCAAAGAGGTATGTATTTTATCTTGTTATATTCATTGTTTTGTATGCTAGATTAGGATAATACCTTGGATGTTCATATTTACATGTATAATAAAGAAAACATAGATCCAACGTATTTAGGGTTGAATGTACACTTAGAAGTGTTAGAATGCTCAAAACCCAACAGTGGTATCAGAGCCTAGGCTTGTTTTCTTGTTATACTTGCAAAACTGCTTAAAAAATCGAAGTTGTTGCTGTCTGATCATCAGACTCGGCGAGTCCATCAGGAGACTCGGCGAGTCCATGCCTAAAAAGTGATCAAATCGATCCAACTCGCCGAGTTGGTTCATGCACTCGACGAGTTGGACCCCCAGACAGCATAAATTCGACTTTTTTGGCTGGAATTGGACTAGGAACATTACCCTAAGATGTTTTTTAAGTTATAAACTTGTTTTTGATGTGGGAATGTTATGCTAATCCAATTCCAAAGATAATTGTCAATAGATTCATGTTTTGTATTAGTTTAAGGTTTAGACTAATTACATGAAAAAGTTTGATTTGAATTATCTTGTTCTTATGAGTTGCTTAGATTAATAGAAAGTTGAGTGAAATAGTTGTTTTCAATCCAAATTAATCTAAGAGTTGATTCTAAAATGTGTTTTTGTAACTTGTCCTCAAGTTATATGAAAAGTCACATTTAAGTTTCATAAAACTCATAATAGTTTGCAAAGGTTACAAAAATGAAGAGTCTAGTTCTAATTAAATGGTTTTATGACTTCATAACTTGTCTTCAAGTTATGGAGGACCAAGAGTCTCTTCATTAAATAATAAATATAAAAAATGTGTAACCTTAATTAAATTCCATAAGTTGTAAAATAAAGATAAGTTAATTCTTTTATTACTTTAAAGTCTTCCATAACTTGTCCTTAAGTTATGGAACTTAAAGAGTTTTTGGATTAAAACTACTTTAAACACATAAGTTATGAAATTAATTAGTTTTGAATAGTTTCAAAACTTGCCCTCAAGTTTTGAAATTTGTAAAGTTTTCTTTTATGAATACTTTAATTCCAAGTTAGCCCTTAGAATTTTAAAAGTTAAAATTCAACCCTTATACTTTATATATATATATATATATATATATATATATATATATATATATATATATATATATATATATATATATATATATATATATATATATATATATATATATATATAAGAGTAAAGTCAGTCTTACCGTTAGTAGGCCTCATTCACGAAGCTGATCTATAAGGGAGGTATAAGGTTACTGCCTATAAAATGACAGTTTAATGGGTGTCCACTCTCACCCACCGCTTCCTTGACCGGTGGAGGGTCTTAAGTCGAACAGGTTTGACAGGACTAGAATTCTCCCTTCATTAAAAGTATTAATGATAAATACTAAGTAACTAAACTCTTAATAATACCCAATCTTAGTTACTTAGGAAAATGTGAATTAGGTGCTAATCCATGAAAGTACACTTTGCACTTTGTTTAAGTCGGGTAGTGGAGCGTGTGTGGTTAACCGACACACTAACTCGTATTTAACAAGGTAGGCAAAGTGTAACTTAATGTTTATCATAGTATCGATGGAGCGTGTGTGGTTAACTGGCACATCGATTGAGGGGTAAACACTTAAGGGTAACAAGTAATTTACATGGTTACTTCACACCTTGTTTTGTGATCCTCGGCATCCTATTCACAAAACCTGAAGGGCACACTCGAGATTGAAACATGCCATTGAATAGTTCAACGAATCTCAAATATCTAGGAGTTTCAAAACCAATTAAAACCTAATAATACATTTCGTTTATCTTGGTGGAAATTGATGAATCGTCATTCACCTACCTTCAAATATTTTATAGCTTGGATTACGGCATCCCTCTTCTAAGTTATAAAATAGTTTGTTGGGTCCTAGCCTTAATATTTCATATTGGGTGTCATATTAAGGACTTTAAATCAACTATCTTGAATATCTCCCAAAAGATGTCTGGTTTAGACATTTATGATCTTCCCAAATCTCTTGAAACAAGCTTTCCTAATGAAGAGAATGTCCCATGGATATCATACTTCTTTCACCTCTTCAAATTATTCTCCCCAAGCAACAAGTTCTTGAAAATTTTAAGGTCACTCAAGCCCAATTGGCAAGGCAAGGTCTAGGTGTGGTCACATCTTGGAGATGTAGTCACATATTGACGAGCCGGGAGAGTTGGGTGTCAAAGTCTTGAGAAAGTTGGTGGTTCAATCACTTTCTAAGTCACATAGTGAGGTCCTTTGGGACACCTATGAAATCGACTATGACAAGACCCTTAATGATCTTAACTATTTGTTAAGATCAACTTCCTTAAAACTTGATGGACATTGACAATAGTGACACAGGAAATCCAGAAAAGCATTCTCTTCCCAATGGAAAGGGATCGGCCATAGTCAACTCGGTTGACCAAATGGTAAAGAGAAAAGCTAAGCTTGTGATAGTCTCGTGTACCATCATCAAAGGGTCCATATGTTTATCTTGCCAAAGGAAGGGGCATTGGTTGCAAAGCTTCCAAATTTACCTAAGGATGTTAAATTCAATAAGTTTGACTCTACTTCAGGTAAAGTCCACTATCTAACTCTGTTAAGTTTCTATTCTGAGATTCCTGATACATGATGGGACTGGGTCACATGGTGATGTTTTAAGAATCAAAGAAAAGTGAAGAAACTTAAAGAAAGAATATGTTGAATCTGATCGCATAGATGGATTTCTATCGCGTAGTTTGAAGATCCGATTCTTGAGCTACTTCTTAGGAGTTATGAGATATTTCTTAGGAATAGATAACAACAAGTTTTCATATGGATTGTAAGGATAAGTTTTTCCGCAAAGTTTTAAAATAAAAGAAAATTTTTTGATTTTATTTATTTTAAAATATCGTTACAATGGCATTTGACACTACTAGAAAAACAGCCTTTTACGACGCTCATTGCGCGTCGTAAAAGGCTCAGACGATGCGCAAATGCGCGTCAACGAAGGCCCTGTCATAAAGAGAGACAACGCGCATTTACGACGCTCATTTACGACGTGCAATTACGACGCGCGTAGACGACACGCAATGCGTATCAAGGAAGGCCCTGTCATAAAGGAAGACGACACACATTCGCGTGTCGTAACCTTACAACGCGCGTGTTAATGACACGCAATGTGTATCAAGAAAGCCCCTGTCAAGAAAGGCCATGTCATAAATGAAGATGACTCACATTTTTGCGTATCATAATTTTAAATGTTTAAAAAAAAATATTATTTATAGATTTACTAATTTTCAAATTAAATAATACATAAAAATCTCATAATATAAAATAAAATACCATAAATAACAAAGATAATTCATTTCACTAATATGTAAAATACAAATAATTATTCCAATAGTGAGTAAATGTTATAAAAAAAAATGAACTCATTTATATACAATTGCATCATCTACATTACTATGTGCCAACAACTCTCTGTGTGTTTACTTTTGCTTGAGTCTCGTTACCTCCAAAACTTTTAGCCATGCAAAAATATGATATCTTGAGTCTCGTTTCAAGAACCAACATCACCTTCAATCACCCAATTAAACTCTAATCTTGGTAGACTGAGAGTTCCAGAATCAAGTTTACATCCATCACCTTCAGTCACCCAATATTCAAGGGCAAAGTTGGAATTATACCTGTGATTTTGCAGTGGATGGGTCTACCAAGAGCAAAACACTAATATCACCCATCAATCTTACACCATCAGGTAAGGTCTGTAGAAATAGAGGAAATGAGCTCCTAAATAATTAAGTAAAGACAACAATATTCAAGGGCAAAGTTGGAATTATACCTTCCTTGATCCTCCAAACAGGAGACAAGACACAACTTTTTTAAAATCCTCATGGCCAAATATGGAAGGGGCAATCTTGTATTCAAAATGTATTCAAAACAGAAAAAAGATTGCAGATTTAGCTATAAGCCCTGTAACATTTCCAACCCAAGAAAGATCCGAAAAATCTCTTTTGACCTCATTCCCATCGGTGAACCCTGCTACGTCAGCAAATGGTAAGCTCACAGCCACATCCCCATAACAGTAGCATCAAGTTGGTATTATTGGAATAACTGAAAAAATAGAAGTTTTCAGATAACATTGTCAAGGCATATAACATATTTAATTTCAAGAATCATGTAACTAAGAACAGACCTGATAACTGTGAAGAGTGAAAAGGAGCCATTATAGGGCTTAATAGATTCTCATCTTATCCAGTTGGGCTAACAGTCGCCACATCATCTTTACATACATCAAAATATCCCCTGAATTCATGTTAACAAACATGTTATTGAATCTCACATGATATAATAAAAACGATGTGAACAGACATGTGTGTGAGTAGTTGAAGATCTTAAAAACTAGAAAGGGTATGAAAATTCAACAGCACAGGCATGTGTGTGAGTAGTTGACGATCTTAAAAACTAAATATAAAACCATTTCATAAAATAATTATGTTAATAAAAGTTTTTGATATTTAACCTTTTTATACAAAGTTGGAAGATCCGACTCCTCAAATGGAAAATAATTATATGTTTACTTTTGTGGGAGTACATTGAGTCCAAAATCTGAAACTTTTAGCCTTTCTTTGGAATCAAGAAGGTGATTTTCAGGCTATATGTATATTACAAGAGCACCGTTAGTAGAAAATAAAGCATTTAATATATAAATCATTACACCTTAAATGATTGAAGTTTGAGCAAACTAAAGTAATTTTAGTAGCCCAATGATTGCGGTTTGAGCAAACTAAAGTAATTCTTCCCTCCTTACCTGAAACAAGTTGTGGGGCATACAAAAATCAACCCCTTAGATTCTCTGGCATCAGGTTAGTTTCTTGCACACTCACCAAGCACATGATCCATCATCAGGGGCACAAATTACTATCCAATTTGTTCCAAGTCCAGTGGCAACACTTGTATTTGTCTGCAGAAAATAAAGATTGTATTAATAAAAATGAAAAAGAGTCGATTAAATATTATATTCAGTAGTATAAGAACGAACCTTCAATAAGTTAAGCACAATCCTAATGACATCTTGATCTTTCAATAAATCCATATTTCTGTGTGCATATCCTATAATTTCCACCCATTGCTGCATAAATCAAACTTATCATAAGACAATATATTAAGAAATCCAAATTAAGAATTATCCTTCAAAGTATGCTGCTATATCCTTCATATACCTTCCGGTGTAAAGAAATAAAAGCAGATTATCAAAAAATGCAGCTTTATAAAATCCTTTAACGCGTTGTGCTATAAACCATAATCTACGAGCTAGTGACCTCTGCCCACATAAAAAACAATATCAAGAAGGAGATAGAGAGAGAGAGAGAGAGAGAGAGAGAGAGGAAAAAAACTTGATGTTAATTCTTTAATTTCATCATCAAAAAAATTAAGTTTTTTTAATTAAAATATGTTGATATTGAATGTTAGATACCTGTTCAGAATCACCCCACTGGCGGAAAGCAGAAAAGGATTGCAAACGAGTTCAAATATACTGGCCACCAACTGTAGCAACACAGTACCATATTTTCTGATAAACTGTGAGCCCAGGTCCCTCTAACCCTGTTCTAACTAGAAGAGTGATGATGGAAACCATAAGATAAAGCTTCATTTCATGTTTCATGTTGTGTAATTGATTTAAAAAGCTTACGTTTTGCTCTTGTTTCCATGGTGAGTTCATCTTCGTATCGTAGATTCATGAGAGCATATCCTAGAGTAGGTTTATGAACCCAAATTGAGAACCTCCAGATAATAAACTCAAGGAAAGCATCAAGTTCTGCTTCGTATTGAAATAATAATCCTGGCTAATCACAAAAAGGAAAGAAGAGGAACACAATTAATCTCCATTGAACATGACCGATTAGTGTAAAAAAGCATCTAATTGTGCTTAATTAGATGAAGTTGACCAGTAGAAAGAAAGAAATCCTTGAGGAACTCATGCTTATAGCACCTGAAATAATAGACACATTCATCAAAAAAAATCTTCATATTCTCATATGAAATTAAATAGAAAAACTTATATAGCCTTTACCTTGCATAACGTATGAATAGATTCATCAAAATTACCATAGATTAGTTTCTTCATAGGATTGATACATTTGGGCAATTCCATCAAGGTCAAATGTCCAAGAATAGGCAGACGAAGACGAATCAGAAGGGTTTGTCTTTCGAAGATTGGTAACCACCCACTACAATGAGAAAGAAAAATAGTAAATGAAAATGAAAATAGATTTATTATTTGTCTTATAAAAAAAAGATTTACCTGAGCCACTTCATTCAAAAACCCCTCACGCATAAGACCACTGATGACCTCCATTTTTGATGTGACCTTCCTTGAAAAAAGATAATAGAAAAATTAAGTTTGTAAAAGTTGAACAAGAATCTTGTATATGAGATACATCAAGATTGCATATGAAAGTGAATATGTGAGATCATGGGACAATATACAGTTAGATATTTATAAAATAACCAAAAAAAAGTCGTTACTCTTTATGCAACACAAAACACACCTGGTTAGCCAATGCTCTTAGAAAAATGATCAATTCAGCAGGATGATCATCTCCGTCTCTACCTACACGTACCTTTCCAGGTGTAGCATCTAAAACCCAAACCTTAAAAATAATAACATCTTATAATATTATTTATCCAGACACCACTTAATGACAAGAAACAAAACAGGGCCTTACTCTTACAGACCTTGCAAGTGGCTTTGCAGCTTGTTCGACCATGCTCAGTGCAACTGGATCATAATAATAAGTATGAAAACAAAGGAAAGAGAGCACTAGTATAGTTTTAACTTCCATTTTGCCCCACCAGCTTTACCAACCTGATAATTATACACAAGTGAAATCCAAATCAAAATCTAAAAACACAAACTCAACTAAATCTAGATACAGAATACTTGAAACAAAGCTTAAGAAGTTTCGATGACAAAAGGCAAAAAGGAAGATCACTTACAGCTGCAACAGATTTGTTGTCAGGGTGATCTTCTTTGAACTGCTTTCTAAAGTCCTCCCTTTATAACATTAACAAGAGGAAAGATATTTAAACTTTGGAAATGGAAGTAAAACATGAAGGTAGTGATAAACGAAGAACAGCTACTAACATGAACACAAAGAACGCGCTAGCGGGTCTCTTGGGTTTATTGGGATCCTTAGCTGCTTTCCCCTTGGATGCAGTCTTCTTTACAGCCAACCTAAAATTACAACAAACAATTGCTAAAAAGTACCGAAATCATGATCCTGAGGAAGAACAAAAACCGAATTTCATTGAAGATGAAAAAAAATACAACATTAAACCCTAGCAGATGGTATGTTTTAAACATATTTAGATTAAATCGTACTTGGTATCGGCTTTCCTTGTAGCACCGCTTGATTTTCCTCCTTTCATCGTTTGAGCCTGAATAAAACAACCAAAACAACAAACTAGGTCAAAAATCGAAGCGAAAATGGTTGTAAATGAAAAAAATTAGAGTTGACATCGAGGAAAAAGAGGAAGAAAACATACCTAGTTAGCAAAAAATCTAGGGTTATGGTTTGATTCGTTTGCGATTGGGGGATACTGGGGTAAGGAAATCGACATATAAATGGCTACGATACGTCGGCAATAGAACTATTTGGGCGGGAAGATTTTCATTCCAAGAGGGCTTGATTATGTTCATGATTTTGGGCCCATTTTGGATAAAACAATGGGGCTTCATTGGTGGCGGTGGTGAACCAGAGAGAAGACGAGGGGAGGTGGGTGCCTAGTTTGTTGTTGAACAGTAGGGGTAGAGAGAGAGATAGATAGAGAGAGAGACTTAAAGTTGGTCGTGTATTACCTGCATCAAATTGAAATTAAGGGAATGTTGATAGGGTGGAGGTGGTGAATGAGATGTTTGGTGATACTGATAAGAAGGAGATCGAGTAGAGATCCGATGAACGAGATGTTTGATAACACTGAAGATGAAGAGGAAGGACCTAGGGCTTTTTCTTGCTAAGTAGAAGAGGCGGGGGGATTAATTTTGGGATTCAATAGGCGGGGGTAATTTTCGTCGATTTCATTTCCCGCCTAAAACACGTGTTTCACTTAAAATTATAAAGCGACACATTCACATGACGCACATTTTATGAAAGGTGCCCTCCGCATTTCTTTTTTTTTTCATTTATGACACTAATCTTAGGGCGCGTAAAAATGCGTGCCCTCTATCCTTCAAATTTTGCAAAACTGACATTATCTTTTAGGGCACTTACAAATGCGCATCGTCTATCAGCGAGTGTCATTGTTTGCGCGTCATTAAAGGGCTATTTTCTTGTAGTGTGAGGAAAAATTGTTGCTTATATGATTCCATTAATAGCAAGAGTGGAAATATGAAATTGATTCTTTCATTTGTAGTAATGTCTAAACTTACCAAATAAGGAAAGATTCTCATCACCCAAGTTTCAATTGGACCAGAACTTGGAATCATGTAAGTTGTATAGCATGATGAATGAGAACTTTCAAGTATTGAAAAATTAAGACGAATTACTTTTCACATGGATGTGTGAGTCATGTAAAGGACTAAGGGATCGAGTACACACGCTTGTGCACTGGCTAAAGTCCACCACAAAAATATAGATAAGACTATTCGTCATAATTTACTATAGCTCAGTAAATATGGTTATACTTACAAGATTAAGTGTAATTCTGAGACATTGGAAAAGGTTCCAATGTAAGGCAGAGCGAATAAGAAGAATCAAATTAGGCAGAAGGATAAAAGTTTCTCAAATCTGAAAAGATGGGAGAGTACTTTAGTATCAGTTTTGTGATCATCTTAATGATTTAGAGACCTTATCATAATTCATCCTCTAAGAGCCTTCTTATAGCAAAGAAGAGGAACTTGAATTGTTGAAGTGGTTAAATCAAGAAGATGATTCATACTTCGTTCCAAAAACAATTCTTAGAGTTATACTCTAAGATTGTAACTTGAGTGACATGTCTTAAAGAAGGTTTAAAACACTTGTCAAATGTAAGAGTAAAAGTTTTCTACTCTTGTACATTTGAAACTGGTAAGTTGTGATGTTTTGGATAAAAACAAAGATCAACTTAGGCTAATTGTGTGAATTGTTTGTCTTGATTAGAATCCACACTATCTCTTGGATGTTTGACAAGGGAGTCTTATAGGTTAAGAGGACAGTGGGAGTCTTAAAGGCTTGAAAGTCTCAAGAACTAATCAAGAATAGAACCTGAAGTTCTTCACTAGCACACGAATTAAGGTTTATAACCTATCGTGTTGACATATTCTGTGCCCATTCCAGTTAAAGTTGGCTTTGCATATGAGTTCTTATAGTTCTCAATTTGTTGCACAACAACTTGGAAGCAATGGCAGGCCCTTGAGTTGTCATGTGGCAAGAAATTAAGATTGAGTTCAGTCCATATGGGTTTGGATTGGTCATTATCCTTGTCTTGTGACTAAGGTTTTGACAATTCACATGGATAAGAACACATACACCATTAAATCTAAGTTTCATAAGGTTTCTCTCCGATTCATGAAAATGATGGTGAGGAAACACTTTCACTAAGTAGATTTTAGCTAGATAGCAATTGTGATATTTGCATTCTCAAAGTCGTTAGTGGAGCGTGTGTGGTTCCCCGGCACACTAACCTGGACTTGTGAGAAGTTGCAAAAAGGTCTAACCATTATGATTACGGCATCCCTCTTCATAATTGTTTAGAAACACAAGTGTGCTATCTATGGGAAGGTGTATGATTTTGATAAAGTTTTATCAAAACAATCTAGTATAAGAAATATGAACTTTGGTAAGAAAGTCAGCTGATTTCTGAGTACATGTCAAAGCTAATGGAAGCATAAGTGTTATGCTAATAATCATCATGTTAGTGGGAACATGATAATTATGATAAGTATTGCAAGTTAGCAATGTTAATTATAGAAAACAAAAGGTTTCAATTGGGAAAAGGTTGTTTTGCTATAATTAAGGGAGAGGAAATTATACTTCATCTCAAATATATAAGCTTAGATCGTGAGGTTTTAATCATTAATTAAGGATATATATATACACAATATATATATATATATATATATATATGAATTTCATGTTGGAATGGCTCAACATAAGGAAATTTTGTATATGAGTCCATTATTTGCGTTCTAAAATTCGATTATGATTACGGCATCCCTTTTCATAATTTGAATTATGAGAACTTGGCAAATAGAACTGGAAATATTATAGCAAAAGACTGGTTTAGTCTTTATGTGAGACATCATGAATCGTGTCCCATATGCTTCGGATATAGGATCGATTATATGTGCTATATTCATCCATTCTAAAATTTTCCAAATGTCTGGGGCATTAAGAAGGGAAAAGGTTTAGAACTGGATATGACTAAAAGGATTAAAAAATTGTCAAGGACAATCTAAGATTTACCAAAGATTGGTTGCTCAAGGACAGTTGGAAGTATAGTGATAATTCTAGAAGGACCATATTGACATAATCTGTAAGGAGGCAACTCTTGTTCAGAAGTGATAGTCAAAATGGAATTTGGAAATGTTTCAAAGTTAGAAATTATTCAATATGTGTAAGATTAGGAAACTTAATGCAAGAAGGATGTTTCTAAGGAGCTGATCTCCTTTGGAATGCTCTGTAATGGTTGTTGTCAAGTCTTTTCTAACTTCGTGCATAATCATTACAAAAGGATCAATGCATATAAGTTTAGAATCTAACATATTTCAGTAAATCGCATGAATTTGGAATTCTTGCATTTGCAGTAAGGATTTGGGAGTGTGAAAAGAGAATCATTGAAGTTATGTTCAATTGATCTAGTTCACAAAGTAAAGATCATAGACAAACATAGTATGCATACTTGGTGTATGGCATGACTAGTGTTTAGAAAACATAGTGTACATGCTTAGAGCATGGGACAACTATTGTTTTAAATTCAAGAATAAAGTTGATAGCTGAAACAGTATACAATGAATAATGTGTAATCATATGGTGATAAATAAAAGGTGTTTTATTTATGTTCATAGGTTTTGATACCATATTGGATTCAATTATTATTGTGTTTCACTTTGCATGTTTTGACTTCCCGAATAAACTAGGTTATTCTTTCGGAATCACTAAGTTATTCAAACCATCCACAGTCGGTCATATGTTGGAAGTAGATATGAATTAAGACTGTCATCGGTTGGCTTGTAGAGGTCTAAGGTGTTGGACAAAGGGCTAAAACACTCATGACTGCTCATAAGTTCTGAGTATTGGATTCAACCCGTGCTCATTAGAATCACTTCATGGATTTTATCACGAGTGATCATGAGATGAAAATATCTTATATTCTTCAAACCTAGAGATATGAGTTGTTACTATGAGTTGGTTGTACATTGATTGCACGAAAACGCATTCAGTAACTCGGTGCTATAAAACGTGCCTTTCTGTATGATTCAACAAGTAGTAGAACAAGCCATATGAGTCGAAGTTTATCCATTCCTTTTACCTTCGGGATAAAAGCGATATCTGTGGGCACCTCGATGATTTGATGATGACAAATGGAAGTGCTCGGCTGGTCCAGGACTGATTTGATTTGTTCAATTAGTCAGTTGTCATATATCGGAAATCGGGAAACAACAAATGGACAGAAAGAATGATTATAATCCATGTCTCAGTCCATATGATATCTAGAATGGAGGAATATATGATCCCTTATCTAATGAACAAGTCATTGACAAAGGTCAGAGTTCATCTACAAGGTCAGAGTTCGACAGAAGCTTTTGAGAGCTATGATTGTCGGTCGGTTCTTGAAGTCATTTGCAATAATAGTTTTAGACTTATCCAAGTGGGAGACTGTTGGATTAATGTCTAAGTCCATAACTATAATTGGTAAGACTTGACCCGACCCGGCATGGTGGTTGCATGGCATCATGCACTTGGATAGACTATAATGAGAGAAATAAGACACTTATGGTTATTAATATATTATAAGTTCTAGTATATTAATAATAAGAATAATAAGATTATTTAATTAGTATTGATCAAGAATTAATCTAGGATTAATTAAGTGATCAAAAGAAGACTAATTAAATATATGGGTTGATTGTGCAAATCATCCATACTTATATAGTGGGCTAATGCTCCATGGATTATCTAGTTGGGCTAAAATCCATATGATGCTCCATGGATGCTCCATGGTGTATTTGAACCCATGGATCATGGAAATGAAATGCCATGTCAATTAGGGTTTATATGGTGTAACCCTAACTATATATGCATCTTATTCTTGACCAAAATCGGCCACTAGTATCATTCTAGAGAGGGCTAGTCGATTTTCATGAAGTGTAGAATTCTCTCAAGTTATTCCAAGTGTATTTGGTGTTGTGTGTACCATTTGAGGTGTCACACTTGGGGCACTAGGCACTCAAGCTTCATGAACACTTTCTACATCAAAGAGGTATGTATTCTATCTTGTTATATTCATTGTTTTGTATGCTAGATGAGGATAATACCTTGGATGTTCATATTTACATGTATAATAGAGAAAACATAGATCCAAGGTATTTAGGGTTGCATGTACACTTAGGAGTGTTAGAATGCTCAAAACCCAATATAAACAACCCTCCACGTCTGACAACCACCTCATAGAAACGATCGGATCCTGAACTCCATCGAAACTAGGGGCTTCGTATTATCG